AATGACTAAAACAGTATGATACTGACATAAAAACAGACCTATAGTCCCACAAAATAGAATATAAAGCCCAGAAATAAATTTACATATCTGTGGTTAACAGATCTTTGAAAAGGATGCCAAAGAAACCCAATGGGTATTTTAAAATAAATTGTTTCAAATGTTCTCACCACAAAAAATAAATAAATATTTGAGGTGAGATACAGATATAGATATGTAGATGCTAATTAGCCTGATTTGATCATTCCACAATGTATACATGCAATGAAACATTACATTATACCATATAAATATAGAAAATAACCATTTCTTTCTTTTTTTTTTTTTTTTTTTTTTTGAGATCAAGTCTTGCTCTGTCACCCAAGCTGGAGTGCAGAGGTGTGATCACTGTAACCTCCTGAATTCAAGCAATTCTCCTGCCTTAGCCTTTTGAGTAGCTGGGATTACAAGTGTACACCACCATGCCTCACTGATTTTTTGTATTTTTAGTAAAGATGGGGTTAAACCATGTTGGCCAGGCTGGTCTCAAACTCTTGATTTCAAGTGATCTGCCCATATTAGCCTCTCAAGTGCTAGGATTACAGGCAGGAGCCACTATCCGGCCAGAAAATAACAATTTTTAGCAAACCAAATCCAGCAGCATATCAAAAAACTAATCCACCACAATCAAGTAGGTGTTATTCCTGTGATGCAAGATTGGTATACAAATCAATCAACATTATTCATCACATAAACAGAACTAAAGACAAAAAAACACATAATCATCTCAATAGATGCAGAAAAGACTTTTGGTAAAATTCAACATCCCTTCATGTTAAAAACTCCCAACAAACTAGGTATCAAAGGAATATACATCAAAATAATAAGAGCCATTTATTAAACCACAGCCATTATCATACTGAATAGGCAAAAGCTAGAAGCATTCTTCTTGGTTTAGGCTGGGCCTCTCTTACCACTCCTATTGAATATAGTATTTGAATTCCCGGCCAGAGCAATCAAGCAATCAAAAACAAACAAACAAATAAATAAATGGCATCCAAATAGGAAGAGAGGAAGTCAAACTATTCCTGTTTGCAGATGATATGATTCTATATCTAGAAAATCCCACAGTCTCAGCGTCAAATCTACTTATGCTAATAAACAACTTCAGGAAATTTTAGGATACAAAATCAACATACAAAAATCACTAGCATTCTTAACACCAAAAACAGTCAAGCTGGGAGCCAAATCAGGAATGCAATGTCATTCACAACAGTCACAAAATGAAAGAAATACTTAAGAAATGCCACTAAACAGGGCGATGCAAGATCTGTGCAGTGAGAATTACAAAACACTGCTTAAAGAAATCAGAGATGACATAAACAAATAGAAAAAGGAATCAATACTGTTAAAATGACTATGCTGCCCAGAGCAATTTACAGATAAAATGCCATTCCTATCAAACCACCAATAACACTCTTCACAGAACAAGGAAACATTATTTTAAATTTTATACGGAATCAAAAAAAAAAAAAAAAAGAACCTGAATAGCCAAGGCAATCCTAAACAAAAAGAACAAAGCAAGAGGCATCAAGCTACCTGACTTCAAACTATACTATAGGTCTAAGGTAACCAAAATAGCATGGTACTAGTATAAAAACAGACACACATGCCTACAATCATCTGATCTTTGACAAAAAACAAGCAATGGGGAAAGGATACCCTATTCAATAAATGGTTGTGGAATAACTGGCTAGCTATATGCAGAAGACTGAAACTGGATCCCTCCTTATACCATATATAAAAATCAACACAAGATGGATTAAAAACTTAAATGTAAAACCCAAACTATAAAAACCTTGGAAGACAACATAACCATTCTGCACATAGGAACTGGCAAAGATTTCATGATGAAGATGCCAAAAGCAATTGCAACAAGGGCGAAAATTAACAAATGGGATCTAGTTAAAAAGCTTCTTCACAGCAAAAGAAACTAGTAACAGAGTAAACAGACAACCTACAAAATCGGAAAAATATTTGCAAACTATGCATCTGACAAGAGTTTAATATCCGGCATCTGTAAGTAACCTAAACAAATTTACGAGAAAAAAAACCCCACAAACAACCCCATTAAAAAGAGGGCAAAGGATATGAACAGACATTTTTCAAAAGAAGATAAACATGCAGTTAGCAGCATATTTTTTAAAAGCCCAATATTACTGATTGTTAGATAAATTCAAATCAAAACCACAATGAGATACCATCTTGCACCAGTCCGGATGGTTAGTATTAAAAAGAAAAAATAATAGATGCTAGCAAGTTCTCAGAGAAAAGGGAGCATTTATACATTGTTGGTGGGAGTGTAAATAACCACTGTGGAATGTAATGTGATGATTCCTCAAAGAGCTGAAAACAGAACCACCATTTGACCCAGCAATCCCATTACTGACTATATAACCAAAGGAACATGCATCATTCTATCCTAAAGACACATGCATGTGTATGTTCATTGCAGCACATTACTGACAATAGCAAAGGCATGGAATCAACCTAAATGTCCACAAATGGTAGACTAGGTTTTTAAAAATATGGTGCATATTTAAAAAAACCATGGAATACTATGCAGCTATGGAAAAGAATTAGATCATGTCCTTTGCATGAACATGGATGGAGCTGGAGGCCATTGTCCTTAGCAAACTAACACAGGAACAGAAAACCCAAACCTCATATTCTCACTTATAAGTGGGAGCTAACTGATGAGAACACCATGGACACAAAGAGGGGAACAACAACACTGAGGCTGACCTGGGGGTAGAGGGTGGGAGGAGGGAGAGGATCAGAAAAAATAATGATTGGGTACTACTAGGCTTAGTACCAGGTTGATGAAATACAAACCCTCAAGACATAAGTTTATCTGTTAAACAAACTTGCACATGTGTCACTGAACCTAAAATAAAATAAAAATTTCTTAAAGAAAATAACTATTTGCCAATTAAAAATAAAATAAAACAATATAAATACAGAAAATAACTATTTTCCAATTAATAATAACACAAAAAAGAAACAATAGGGAAAGATAATTTTTTCCTTAAATGTTGTTGGGAAAACAGTATGTCCACAGGCAGAAGAATTAAATCAGATCCTTACTTCACATCTTATATAAAAAAAGCAACAAAAAATGAGTTAAAGATATAAATGTAAGGCCTTGAGGCATAAAACTGTAAGAGAAAACATACAGATCTTCTTGATGTTGATCTAGGCAGTATGTTTGGATATGGCACTAAAGCACAGGCAATAAAAGCAAAAATAGAAAAATGAGATTGTATTAAAAAGTTTTTGCATTGCTGTAAAACAATCAAGAGAAATATTTACAAACCATATGTCTGATAAGGTTTTGTTACCCAAAGTATCTAAGAAACTGAAACAACTCAATGGTTAAAAAAAATTACAAATAATGAGCAAAATACATGAACAGACCTAAATACATTTATTAAACAAAGGCATGTAAATAAAAAAAAGTATATAGAAGAATGCTCAACATGACTAATCTCAGGGAAATACAATCAAAACCACAATAAAATACCACTTCACACCTCTCGGAATGCATACTATCAAAAAAGTAGAAGACAACAAATGCTGACAAGATTGTGAAGAAAAGGAAAACCTTGCACATTGTTGGTAGAAATGTAAATTTGTACAGACATTATGGAAAACAATATGAAGTTTCCTCAACAATGGCCTTATGATCTAGCAATTCGACGTTTGGGTACATATGCAAAGGAAATGAAATCAGTATGTTGAAGAGATACCTGCATTCCATGTTTACTGCAGCATTATTCACAATAGCTAATACCACCAACAGATGAGGGGATACAGAAAATCTGGTATATACCAAGAGATAGATCTATCTGTCTGTCTAAGTAAATGTATAGGTAAATACAGGTACACAAACAGAGAGATACAATAGAATACTATTTAGCCTTTCAAATGAAGGAAATCCTGCTGTTTGTGACAACATCAAAGAACTTGGAGAACATCATGTTAAGTGGAATAGCCAAATGCAGAAAGACAAAAACTGCATGATTTACTTGTGTAATATAAAAATGTCAAGCTCATAGGAATAGAGAATAGAATGGTGGTTACCAGGAGTTATGGCGAGGAAGTTAAATAAGATAAATAAGTTTGGAAGATTTAATGTACCACCATGTGACTATAGTTAATAATATTGTATCATTAAAAACTTCTAAGAAAGTAGATCTTAAGTGTTCTTTCCCCACCACACACAAATAGTTATGTGAAGTTAAGAATATGTTAATTAGCTTGGTTGTGGTGAATATTCATATACATATATCAAGTTGTATATGATGTTCTTTGTCTTAGGATGAGGTTACATGTTAATTAACCAATTGTGAGTCAAAAATATTGTAAGCCGAGAATGCATTCCATAACTTCAATAAACCTACAGTGAAGTTGAAAAATCCTAAATAGAACCATTGCAAGTTAGGGACCATCTGTACCTTCAATATGTACAATTTTAAATTGTCAACTATACCTTACTAAAGTTGTGTTGTGGGGGGGAAGCTGATATTAAAGGAGGAAACAGTAAGAATAAGGATGTGTGTACAAAGAATTTAATTTGTTTTTCTAATTTTGGTTGTCAACATTAGTACAAACAATAAAAATAACAAAAAAAGAATAGGAAATTCCTTCTCACCCTTCATGTTGACTCAATGCAGTCTCTTCCTAAATTGTAAAGGCTTTTGTAATGACCCTAGATAGATATAGGAATTCTCTTTCCCATAACTTTTCCAACTTTTATACATACCCACTTCTGCTCTTTATCATAGTTGGCCATGACTATCTCTCCCAGTATTCTGCAAGAACCCTGAGTATAAATTGTGCCATTTTTCCTTGAATGTTTAAAACTTAGCACCATATCTAGCATGAAGCAAAAACTCAATAAATGTTAGTTGAAAAAATAAATAAAATGCAAGATTTACTCAATAATTGCTACTGATATTTACCTGATTTGTAGAGATAGCTTGATCTCTTGGTTGGTTTTCCATTATGATTAGTATTTGTCTCCTACATAATTCACGAAAACAAAACAAATAGATCCATAAAAGAAATTTTAGTATTCAAACATCAACTATTATTTCTATATTTAAAATTCAGAAATTTAAGATTTTAAAAATTTATCATTAGTGTCAATTTATAAGAAATGCACATTTTATTATGTTTACATTACATGTATTATTTATAGAATTCCAAGTTCACAGTTGTATCAAAAGTTGTACGTAAAACTACCTACACATTTGATGATTTGAGCATACATTTGTACTCCCATCTAACACATCTAAGATTTAGTATGGATAGCAATGTCAGATACTGCACACATTACCCCAAAAAGGTCAGTAATAAAATTTAGACACTGTTTTTAAAGGATATTTTTTTAAGTTGAGGACATAGCCTTTATAATATGTTGGCCAATATGACGTCAAATGTGAAAGCTGTTAAAATGTTCTTTTTTTGACTCTTAGCATATTTAATGTGGCAATTGATATAGTAGAACAGTGAACTAAGCCCAATGTATATTTGTCAAATGTTCATTCTAAAACTGCTCTATAGAAAAGCAATTGTGATAAATATACTACATTTAGGAGTTATACATAATTTACTGTCTCAATTATTATACATTATAGGACATGGAAAATAATGCCACTTTCGACCCTAGTCATGAAGAATTCTTTTGGAAATGATTTAATAAATTTCTAGTTTATTGAAATCTATTTCAAACCACATTAACTCCCGGACAGTTGAGCTAGTTAATACTATATTAATAATGAAACCAACGAGGCATATTTGATTCCTGTAACAAGTTAGCTGCTGACAGAGAAAATCTATTTCATGTCCAAAAGTTATACCCTGAATCTTTGGTGGTATCTTTTCAACAGCAGGTAACTAATCACTGGTTAAAAAACTACTAAATCATTTCTAGTACAAGCCCAATCAAAAAAGCTCAACTTTATACTTCCTCTGAAAGCTGCAGATACATACCATGAACTAACATCTTGTATCTTACATTTAAACAGACCGTTCTAGGGCTATTAAAATGTTATTATGGTGTGACTAACTTCAGAGAATAGAGTTATTTTGTGTGATTACATAAATAATGACATTTTTGTATATCAATATGACCATAAGATTGTATCCCTTTTATTGTGTTTGTATTTGGAGTAAAAGAACTCTTACATACCTCTTCTTTTGAAGGATCCAAAAATGCCTGTGAAAGTCTGGATAAATTTCTTGTGTGGGTGATGCCTGAGCTGAAATAATTGAATCTTGGCCTGAAATGTTAGTATCTCCTAGAGAAAGAAGAGATAACTTTAAATATGAGAAGCTGATGTTGCTGGGACAAGGGTTAATACTAGTTTACAGCATTACCCCAACCTTCTCCCTGCTCAGCTGCCACAGTGACTAGAGTTGCCACAATCAGGGATTTATTTGAGTCAAGGAAATATATTCAAAAATAAGATGACTTTTTTGATGTTTACTGCCTACAAATTTCCAATGGTTCCCATTGCCTTCAAAGACAAGTCTGAAATCCTAATTTATTTAATGTTTTTACGCCAGCTCAATCTTTTTCTGTAACCACAGCCCACTGCTAGAACTAAATGTTTGCATTTCATTAAGTAGACAACAAAAAACTATTTGAATAGTGAAATAAACAAAGCCGTGTTTTAGGAATATTGTTTACATAAACACATATATAGTGAGTAAAATAGAGGAAGGGTACTGCAATAGAGAAGAATGGAGAAAAACAAGGGTAGAAGCAATGAGAATGGAAAAGAGTGAAGGTCAAGATAAATCAAGAAAGTAGATTAGACAGAAAGTGTAAACTTTTAGATGCAAAACTTAGGAGGAAGAGTCCAAGACAACTCAGGTTTTGTGCCTGGGTGAAAATAAAAGGGTCAGGAAGCTGATGATGAATTTAGTTTTGTATTAAATTTGAAGTGATCTTTAGCTACTGGAAGAAGCTCTCTTGAATTTTCTGTATGCATATTTCAGACATGCATGTGAGTATATTTAGTGACTTGCATAAACATAACAAGGCACACAAATCTTGGGTAATGCATATTTCATTTAAAGAGAAATGGGAAACGAAATGTACCATTTGTTGAAATATGTAAACAATCTTGGGTATAATTACCTGTATTCCAATCTGCTGGAGCCAGTATGTCAGCATCTTTATCTATAACTACAAACAGCCACAGCAAGACCAACAGAATGGGAAAAAATTTTTGCAGTCTACGATATCCAGAATTTACAAAGAACTCAAACAGATTTACAGGAAAAAAACAAACAAGCCCATTCAAAAGTGGGCAAAGGATATGAACAGATACTTTACGAAAGAAGACATATATGAGGCCAACAATCATATGAAAAAATGCTCATCGTCACTGGTCATCAGAGAGATGCAAATCAAAACCACATTGAGATACCATCTCACGCCAGTTAGAATGGCGATCATTAAAAAATCTGGAGACAACAGATGCTGGAGAGGATGTGGAGAAAAAGGAACACTTTTACACTGTTGGTGGGAGTGTAAATTAGTTCAACCATTGTGGAAGACAGTGTGGCGATTCCTCAAGGCCTTAGAAATAGAAATTCCATTTGACCCAGCAATCCCATTACTGGGTATATATCCAAAAGACTATAAATCGTTCTACTATAAGGACACATGTACACGAATGTTCATTGCAGCACTGTTTACAATAGCAAAGACCTGGAATCACAAATGCCCATTGATAATAGACTGGATTGGAAAAATGTGGCACATATACACCATGGAATATTATGCAGCAATCAGAAATGATGAGTTTGTGTCGTTTGTAGGGACATGGATGAATCTGGAGAACATCATCCTCAGCAAACTGACACAAGAACAGAAAATGAAACACCGCATATTCTCACTCATAGGTGGGTGATGAAAAATGAGAACACATGGACACAGAAAGGGGAGTACTAAACACTGGGGTCTATTGGGGGGAAAAGGGGAGGGCCAGTGGGAGGGGGAGGTGGGGAGGGATAGCCTGGGGAGAAATGCCAAATGTGGGTGAAGGGGAGAAGAAAAGCAAAGCACACTGCCATGTGTGTACCTACGCAACTGTCTTGCATGCTCTGCTCATGTACCCCAAAACCTATAATCCAATAAAAAATTAAAAAAAAAAAAAAAAGACCCTATCTTTTCCACACTTTGCAAATTTTGAAAGGACATTCATCCAGCACTCACTCAATATATGGGCTAATTATAATATCTATATTCATAGAAAATTATATCATCCTTTTTTTAAAAAGCATTTTATAATCAGATAAAACAACTAAAAATATATAACTATATTGTATACTTAACAGAAAAATTATGAATATTGTTCATTTTCTTACCTCTATCATTGACAATACTTGAGTTTTTAGATATCATCCCATCTCTCTACATGGTGCCACATTAAAGAAAAAGTACATTAGTAACTGTGCTTCTAAAAGAAGTTCTGCTTTCTATCAATTAACCAATGAATACAGATGTTTTTCTTCTTTTATCTTGTAACTCATAAAAACTGTTTAAGTGTAATACATATTATTAACCTCCCTTCCATATAATCTCAAATTTAACTAGTTAAAAACTGAGTTCAATATGTAGCAATGTATAAACTTACTTCTCCAGTCTTCCCTATTTTGCCTAAAGGCATGGTAATACATACATGCTATGGTTAGTTCTAAAAAGTTTAGACTCATTCGAGAAATCCAATCTAATTCATTCAGACCCAGTCCAATCCAGTGTAATCCTTGTTGAAAACACTGTTTAGAACCAAAGTAAAATTCATCATTTCAGGATCATTTTATTGGAATAATATCTTTCCGTGTCTGTCGCCTCACTGGACAATGAGTTTTTAAGAGGAGCAATTATGTATTATTCTTTTTATCTTATATTACCCAATTTCCTTGTTCTCCATTATTCTAGCTTAGTACAACACCTGGTCCATAGTATATGCTCAATAAACACAAGCTATCATTATTATTATTACCGCCAAATGTTTGTTTGGATTATTTTCTGCTAAAATTCATAGTGCGCTTGGCACAAAGCTAACTCACTACTTTCTCTGCCAGGAAAATGGATCAGGTTTCATGAACAAAAATTTCCCTACCAATCAGTACTATGCTGCTGAAGGTGAGAGCTCATGGAAATAAAAGTTAAGTAGATAAATTAATAAACACAACAGTAAACTAATTTTGTACCTTTTGATTTACACCATTATACTGCACATTTTCCTGAACAACAGAAGTTGAGGTTTTTTTAATAAAATTCTCTGAACTATTTTGATTCTGATGACCAGCAGTTGCTGTATTTCCTAAAAGTAAACAAAACAGAGAGAAACTCTAGTATTTTTTTTTTCAACAGCTTTAGGAATCTACAATAAAAGTACAATAAATCGTACCTTTTTAACTATTTAGTTGATTTTGAAATATGAATCAAACTGTGAAATCATCACTGTATACAAGATAACATTTCTGTTAACCCCTGAAGTTTTCTCATGCAACTTTGTAATCTATCCTCATAATCCAACAATGCTGATCCGTACCTCTAACTCAAGATTAGTTTGCGCTTTCCAAAATTTCATATTTCCCTGGCTTTTTTCGCTCATCACAACATTGTCACATATATCAATGGCATATTTTTTATTTCTGAGAAGAATTCTATTATATGGCTATTTCATAATTGTATACACATATCTATGGAAATTTTGATTGTTTCCAGTTTTTATAAATATTTATCTATTTTGTTTATATTATTTTATTAATTTTATTATAAATAAATATAATTTTTATTTTACTCTAAATAAAATCTATAAATAAAAATTTCTATAAACTTTCATGTATAGGTCCTATGTGGACAAATTTTTTTTTCATTTTTATTGGGTAAATACCTAGTAACAGAATGAATGGTCACGTGGTAGGTTTAACTTAAAAAATAAAATGCCAAACCAGTTTTTCAATGTGGTTGTACCATTTTACATATCAATGAGCAGTGCATCAGGTTTGCAGTTCTTCCACATCCTTGCCAATACTTAGTAAATAGAAGAAAAATAAAGATCAAAGTAAAAATTTTTAAAAAGTAAAAAGAGAGAGAAAGAATGAAATAAAAAACTGGCTCGTTAAGATGTTTAGTAAGTAGTAAGTCAAAAACAAATAAGATCACAAATCAGTAAAATAGAATCTACAGATAATTACTAAATGAAATAATAAATAAATACATGAAAAATGTTTGCTAATAAATTTGAAAATATATACAAGAAACAAATTCCCTGAAAAATCCCAATGACTACATTTTATCACAAAGAAGTAGATAATATGAAGAGCCCTGTAGCAAAGAAATTAAGTAGAAAGTTTAACCTTTTCCACAAAAAAGCTACGGACTAAAGAGACTTCGCCTCTGCATTGTGCTAAATATGTAAGCAAGAAATTATGCTAATTCTACACAACACTTCCAAAAAATTAAAAAAGAGTGAACATTTTCTATCTCACACTTTTACATCAGAATCACTTTGATACAAAATACCATTACAGATATAATAAATTAAAATTCTTTTCAATTCCTCCATGAACAAATATGCAATAAAACAAATTATAAATATCATGTATAATATGTAATATACTGACAATTACATAAATAACATAGTAATCATAATATAATTAAAAATAATATAATAAATATAATATATGTATCACATTTCCTTATGTTTTGGAACAATATTAAGAGGTACACAATCACCATTGCTGTTCAACATTGTACTGAAGGTCCTAGACAGAGAGAAATAAATGAAAAGGGAATCCCAACTAAATAGCAGCAAGCTATTTTGTAGAAATGGACAAGTTTTTAAAATTTGTATAGAAAGCAAAGGCTCTAGAATAACGAAGTCAACCTGGCATAACAACAAATGTTTGGATAACTCAAACCACTGAATTTTGAAACTTATTTTAAAGCCACAATAATAAAGAAAATGAGGTATTTGCATAAATACAGATAAATGCATCAATCTATGATCACTTTATATTTTCAAAGTTGCCAAAGCCACTAGATTTGTACCAGATAAGTTAGAATCCTCCTGTTTTCCCAGGTAGCAAGAAGTGCTATCAAACACCACTAGGATCATGGCAGAAACACCGCTAGAGCTATAATGAAGGAGCTTCCCTTGGCCAGAGATGTGTTACGACGTCAAGACAATGAGAAGACCTTAACGATGATCCACTTTTACTTAATAAATAGTAAATACATTTTCTCTTCCTTGTGACTTTCTCAATTTAATAACATTTTTTTCTCTAGTTTACTTTATTGTACGATTATAGTATTTAATATATATAACACAAGTAACATGTGTTACTCCACAGTTTATCTTATCAGTAAGGTCAAAGGTGAGCTATTAGTAAGTTTCTGGGCAGTCAAAGTTAAATATAAATTTTTTACTGTGCAGGAGGTCAACGCTCCAACTCTCAGCCCTTAATGTTCAAATGACAACTGTACTTCTGGTCGTTCTATACATAATCACCAAAACATGGAAACAGTGCCAAATTTCAAATTTCTTTCAGTTCAAGAATGAATAAATAAACTCTGATGGGGGAAAGGAACAAACTATTGACACATGCAATAACTTGGATGAATTTCAGGGGTATTATGCTGAGTAAAAGAAGCCTTTTTCAAGAAGTCATACATTTACATAACATTCTCCAACAGAAAAATAACTATATGAGAACATACCACTATTTGATAATAATCCCAGAGGTAACATAAGTAATAATCCCAGAGGTAATTTGGGATTATTAGTTGGGAGAAGGAGGGTGTGACTGCAAATAAACAGAATGAGGGAGATTTTTGGAATGTTGGACTGTTCTACATGTGATTGTGATCGAGGTTACACAAATCTATACATATGATCGTACATGTAATTGTACAAAAGATTCCATTTTGCTTTAGGATGATTTAAAAAAACAAAATAAATGCCTTAAGATGTTTTCTGAGAATGAAAAAATAAAGACAAGATAAGGAGCTGGAACAGGAAATTGACTTCGAACGCTGCCTGGAGAATCACCAGCTGCAAAACTGTGTGGGGCAAATTTCTCATAAGAGTATAGAGGATGTGACACTGTTCCTGAGTTCATACTCATGACGCTATGATGAAGTGGAAACCAGAAAGACCGTGCATGGGAAAGAGGGGCACCTCTAAAAACTTATGACTTGTGATGTCACTATTGTGTATTTCTGAAATTCACAAGAAGACCACAATGATGCATATACCCTTCACTGAGACTGGAGAGTAGCTATACATAACTGCTCACAGCCAAGGCTGATATGAATCACATTAGTTTACATTTCATCTTTCAATAGGATATTTCTCCCAACCATGCTTAATTAAATTTATGGGTCTGTTCTCCAGACAATTGTCACAATAAACTGGTATCGCAGAGGAGCTAAAAACAATCCTTTCCTAAAATGTCATTGAGATTCTGACAACAGGAAGATCAGACTAGGATGCATTAAACACCAGATTTTTATAGAATCAGTTTGCTTGAGATAAGTATTTTAGAAATTGATAATTTAGTTTTATTGTCTACATTTAGTGTAAGATGTAGAGCTGGTATTGCCATAAATTTGCCAGTTATAAATAAACTTTTGGTATATCGTAAAACTATGAATTTCAGAGTTAAATTAACTGAACCTCAGTGATTCTGAGGCAGGAAGATATCCGTGGCTAAGGCAACCCTATCTCTCCCAACATTTCTGATTCTTGATGAGACTAAGCAAATTGCATATTGGGAAGAAAAGATTTTAAACAGTATTTCCTTTATTTTTTAACCAATAAGGCCAAGAAATTTAACTTTAATTTTTTCTTTGAAATTTAATAATGGGAGATAAGTTATACTGTTGGACTTCTGAACAGTCATACTTTGATGATTTTTTTTGAGGATTTTTGTATTGTAAACTTGGGCTTTTGTTCTTTACTGAGTTCTTTTTTCATTGCATTTTAGGTTTCGGGGTGAGCAGCATGAAGAGACACAGCATAAGTTAAAATAATAAAGTAATGTTTCAGTAAGGGCCACAGTGAATCTGGAGTTAATATACTTAATTTCTAACACATTTCAGAGTTTTCTGAAATTATTTTAAGCATATATAAATTGTTAGACATGCTACATTATATATTTAATCATAATAGACACTTCATTTAATTTTATAAAATAATAATATAATGTCAGGTTCAAAACAATAAGTCAATTATCTATTATCAAATTCTAAAAGCAATGAAGGCCACATAGCTGTTGATAAGCATCACTCAAAATCAGTCATTTGACAAAAGAAAACAGAGGATTTATCTACATTTAAGTGAAAGAAGCTGTTACAAAACTATCTTTCCCCAAATTATTGTTTAGTATCTCATGTTTCTTGTCACAATATTCAATTACCAGATATTTTTTCATATGTATTCTCGTCTCCAGCAGGATAAACTAATATGATATCTTCAGAAGTCTTCCTTTTATTCTTTGGAGAAGCTTAAAGAAATATAATAAAATATTTATTTTTAATAATGATGACAGAATTACCCAAGATAGACTACTTATCCTTTTATGCCCAAGAAGAGCTGAACTATATGCTAATCTGTATGTGGGAGAGATATTGGAGAAGATAGAGAGATGTGAAATGGGAGGAAAGACAATTCTTGAAATATTATCCCTTCATAGTAAAAGATACCCCTGGAGGGATAAATTTTTTCTTTGGCAGAAAGGGAAATCTGCACCAGGGCTCAACTGAAACTTGTCATTTTCCATCTGGGTACATATCAACATGTGACTGGGCTGAAAACTCAGCAGTCCACAGTGACTAATGTAATTCTTGGATATGCCTTGATGCCTGACAGAGCAAATAACACATGTATATTCCCTTCTTTGTGATAAAGACAATTACAATTTTGCTTTTCTAACTATTAAAGTGGCAGAAGGTCCTTACTGCATGTGTGTTCAGGGGGCTGTTATGAGAGATGTTAAATGTAAGAGTGATCTGTTTCCACATTCACAGATCACTGAGCAGATTCTTCTGATACTTTCTTTCTTTTACTTTCTCGGTCCCACTAAAAGTTGTCTATTTGTTGGAAGGTAACAACATTACAGTAGTATAATTTAATTTAATTTATGCCATGGATATTCTTTCTATTCTGTCACTTTGATAAAATAAACTAAACTCATTTATATACTACTTCTTCAACAACAGTGTATTTAAATAACAAGTGTTTAAGCTATTTTAAATTCTTCCTACTACATGAGAAAGTTAATGAAGATGTAATAAATTGTATAGTTACTAAAGGGGTTTCATATCTGAGGTATGATATTGCTGTCATTGCCTCAATGAAGTAAATAGATTTAGTTAATCCATTTAGCAAACATGTCGTTAGTGTATATGCTTTTCATGGTGTTCTGTTAAATACAAATGTGGGAGTTTAATATTATAAATGATTAAGACAGTGGGAAGTATGTAATATGTAAATTAAAAGTGGTAAATACTACTTCAGAGATTCATAGAAGAGGGGCCTTCCAGTTAGGGTATCAAAATTGACTTTTTGGCATGTAATTTACAGTAGGGCTTAACAAAATGTAGGATTTTGATAAGGGTAATCAGGTCATTCTGAGAAAATTGGATACAGAGAGGCAGAGAAGCAGGAAAGATAACATGTGTTTTAGGAATGACCAGTAGTCTAATTTGACTAAATAACAAAATAAATTAAGTTCTTACTATATGCTAGAATTTTTACACTCTTTATAGAAATTATTTAGGAGTATTATCTTTGTTTTCAGATAATGAAACTGGCTTAGGGAGTTTAAGTAATTTGCCCAAGCCGTTACATTGATTGAAAATGATAAAACAGGATTGTACTTCTATAGTGAAGCACCGGAGTCTTTTCATATCACTACTAGATTACAGCTGCCATCTTCAAGGATGTAGTGTAAAACAAAGTTAAAAGTTAGGTAAGTACTGAACTTTGGATGCTGATAAATGCTTGCTGAAACAGTCAGAGCTTCATTTAATAGGTAATAGTTTTAACAGTGGAGGAAGAAACCATCAGAACAGAGTTTTAAGCGTAACAAGCAACAGTACAAATGGATGGATCTGAGGCAGGTAAAAAAAAGTCAACAGAGGCTAGTTGGTAATCTACTGCAGTGACACAGGAAAGCTCTGACCTCAAAATGGGATTCATGGGATACTATGATGAAGCCGCATGGAAAATAATCAGTTTCTTTCCCTACACTACACAATCAAAGATAGTTAAATCAAGTCTACAGTTCTGCATTCTGGCCATAAAATTGTAGCTAATATTAGAAGAGAAAACCCATTTAATTTCATAATGTTATAAATAAAGGAAGCTGGTAGAGACAGCATAGCAAAGCCATTTCTCCTTACTTAATTGGTTCTTTCTTCATTTATTTGTTCATTCTTTTTTCCCTAATTCTCTACCTTCACCCTTTCTTACTGGTTGGCAGTATAATAGAACACCATGTTGCTATATAAGAGCAGTTATCTTACAAGTTTGTATCATTTCAGTAGTTATTTTAAATATAGGGAGGTTGGTTAGAACTACAGCACAGGCAAGCCAGTACAGGCAAGCCTCTATAAGATTGTTATAATTGTTACATATATGCCTACTTTTCAACTTGAATTGTAATATAGAAATGTCTAGAACAGTGTCTGGCACAAAGGGAGTAACAAGTGTAAATACACAGAGTATTACAAAAGAATATTTAGGTAGATAAGCATTTCCTACTTAGCTACATCATCTTTTAATGTTCTCACATTCACCATGTGTTGTTCCATCTTGACCTTTGTACTTCAATGTATTTTTCCCCATATCTTCTTTAATGCCAGTATCTTGCATTTTTTGTAAATGATAAGCCATTTTTTTCTCTAGAAGTTCTTGTTTCTACAATATTAAAGAAAATATATTGGTCAATATTAACTTGTCATTAGAAATGTAAAACAATTTATTTAAAATGTGACAATATGTTAGAAATGGATTATCAGTCTTGTCTTGACTTGTAACATTACAAAAATAAGAGAATAATAAAGGGTAAATTTCCATTGTGACCAAACACAAAGAATAATTTACCTCTCTACACATCATCAGAGGACTAATCCAGTTTTTGATCAGACACAGTATCGTATCCATGGCTGCCCTGGTAAGTTAAAGTAATTTCTCAATGATCTTTAATTGGAAGATTCCTGAGGGCTTACCCAAATATCACTCAGGTCTACCAGACATAAACAGAATATAGTACATAAAATGTGATTTCCCTTTGTGAGTATCTGGGCTACTGTTGAATATACTAGAAAGAAGACAAATGCATATAGAAAAAAAACCCCAGAGATTCTCAGAGGGTTCTTGCAATATTTAGCAAGAAATAAATGAGCACAGGTAAGACAACTACCCAAGACTACAGTAAAGACCTGCCTAAAGGACTGGGGAAACAGTCACTGGAACCTACCTAGGTGTAGAAAACATGCCTATTCCCACTAGAAATATTTTACTGTAAAGCTACACTGGGAAAACTTCATAAGTCATAAGGCTTTGAGTAGAGAACTAAGATACTCAGTAGCAGGGAATAACTAGCCCCAGATTAAACATGGCTCTGGCCCCACCAGCAAATCATAAAAGGCAAGACCTGTACAATCAAATTGTTTCCAAATAAATTATCTACATCCAAAAATTCTAAATAATATTTATAAGAACATAAAAATATTCAGTAAACAAAGTAAAATTTATGTCTGGCATCCAATCAAAGAACACTAGGTATAAAGAAACAGGGGAATATGACTTATAAAATAAGTAGATCAATCAACTGAATTGACTCAAAAATGACACAAATGAAACTATACAGTCAATACAATTGCAATTTGTATGTAAACAAAGTGAAGAAGATATATGGAAGATATAAAAAGGACCAAAGGCAGTTTCACATATGTGAGACGAGCAATACAATGGATGTATTAATGGTGGAGTAGCCATTCCAAAAGATTAGATAATGTGAATTCAGCAACAGAAACCATCCAAAAGAAAACACAGAAGGGTGAATAAATGAAAAAGATATGGGACAACTTCAAGCAGCCTAATATATACCTGAAGAGAGGAGAGAGAAGATAAAATTAATATTTGATAATAATGACCTAAAATGTTTTAAATTTGATGAAAACCATAAAAACGCAAGTTGAAGAAGCCCAAAATACCAACACATAGGAAACAAGAAAAATTTCACCAAGGCATAACAATCAAATTTCTCAAAATTACTGATAAAAAGAAAATTTTTAAATTTCCTAGAAAAGCAAATTATGTTACACAGAGAAAAATAAAGTTTAAAGACAGTAGATTTTCCTTGGAACCAATGTAGAGAAGAAAGTGAAACACCATCTTTAAAGTACTAAAATAAAAAATAGTCAATGGTGAATTCTATACCTAGTTGACATAACCAATATATACTCAAAGAAAAGTTTTCAAAAATAAGGGTAAAGTCTTTTGCAGACATAAAAAAGTAAGTTGCAGCAGGAGCAATGTTAGAGAAAGCCCTTCAGATAGAAGAAAATAGCAGATGAAAATATGGGTATACAAAAAAAAGAATAAAGAGCATAAAAAATTTAAGTATATGGACAAATATAATATGTGATTTATTTACATCATGATAAAAGATAAATAATTATTTAAATAAACTTGACAATGTAGTGTGGGATTTATTTCATATATGATTATAAATAAAATAAATGACCAGAATAGCATAAAGGCCAAATGGAAAAAAATAAAGCATAATATTACAATGTTCTTATATGTGAAATAGTATAATATAGTATAATCACTCTTTACAATCTAGTCTAATAAGTTAAAGATATATACTATAATCCTTAAACCAAATGGTAAATTTTAAACAAGGAAGCAATATATAAAATACATACAAAAGGATCATTAAAAATCTAAAGAAAAAGGCAGAAAATGCAGAAAAGAACACAGATGAGACAAATGGAAAACAAAGAATGAGATGGCAGTTAGTAAAGTCTCATGTTAATAATCATACTAAGTGTAAATGCTACAAA